TAAGACTCTAATCTACTGAAGAAACACGCAAGAACAAGTAGCTGAAATTCAAAGCCAAACAAATTCAAATCAGAAATAAGACAATTTTTTAACAATGTAGGTGGTTAACCTTGGAGCAAAGTACACAGGGAAGTGGTGGATTCTTCCATCTCTTGATGTCTTCAAATCAAGACTGGGTGAGTTTTGGAAAATGTGCTTTAGCAAAACACAAATTAAGCTTTAGCCAAACAAATTATTAGGCTTGAGACAGGGGTAACTGGATGAATTTTAATAACCTGTGATATGAGAGAGGTCAGACTAAATGATCTAATGGTCCCTTCTGGCCACAGGTGTGATGCACAAAGTGATTTGCAATGCTGAGCATCACGGCACCTAACTTTTAGGCGTGTATAAAAATCTCAGGAAGACACTGTGATCCATAAAGCCAAATTAGATGCCTAGGCTCTCTATACAATGCATAGGAGGTGTTAGGCACCTAAGAATGCTATCAATAAAAGCCAGCATGCTAAGTGGGGAGCTGCCTAAAATAGCCAATGGGAGATGCCAGTCAGAGGGGTGTGTGCTAAATCCTGCCTCTCTCACAAAGCCAGGTGCCTAAGGCCAGGACTATATTACAGACATATATCAGTGTAACTACATCCCTGAGCAACCCAGTTATACCAACCTAACAACCAGCGTAGACAGTGCTATGTCCACGGGAGGGCTTCTCCCATCGACACAGCTACCTCCTCTTGCAGAGATGGATTAACTATGCTGATGGGAGAAGCTCTCTCATTGGTATAGTAGCACCTTCACTCGAGCGCTACCAGCTGCGTAGCTGCTCTGTTTAAAGTGTAGAGCTGCCCAAAGTCTGGGCTACAGGGAGATGCCTATCTCTGCTTAGCAATCCGTGAACAGGAATCAACTGTCTCCTGGTGGCTTAGGCACCTAAGGCGTTTCTTGCAGGAATGAGTTAGACCCCTGCCTTGCACCACATGCAATTATCAGAGGAGAAAAAGGTGGTGGCGGCGGGTGCTATTGCCCTGAACTTTTAAGCCAGTGGTTAGAGCACGCAGCTGGGATATGGGAGACCTGGGTTCAATTCCCCACAGAGGGGGGAGAAAGAATTTAAATGTGGATCTCCACCCATCTCTCCCATGGGTGCTGTAATCACTGAGCAATGGCATATTCTGATGTGAGGCTCCCTCAGTCTCTCCTGTTGAAACTGTTCCACTGCAGATTAAACAACAAGAGTGTGATTGGAGCATGGGCACTGGAACAGGGCTCTCCATCTCCCAGATGGGTACTCTAATCACTGGACTACTGAGTTATTCTCACTTGCTCGCTCTCTTCCCCGCCCCCGCAGACCACTGACTGTTTCACTGTGGATAAATACTGAAATAGTCAGTGGAACATTTAGAATTCAGCAGGAGTTTTGTGGACTACAGTGGAGCCTAAAACTGGGATTTAGGCATCTACCTTCGCAGATTTAGGCTTGGTCTCCCTATCTGAGCCACCACAGTATAGAACAGAAATAAATTAATGTGGGTGTTTCTTCGGCCTCATTAGTGCTACCTTTTGTACCAAAAAGAAGAATGCACAATAACCGCCCTACCCAAGTCCCTTAAAGCAAAAGAAACGTTGATTAAATTCCAAACTTTCATTAACTGAACAGATGAATTCATTTGTAATAGGATGGGCTGTTGGGAGCAGAGCTTCCCCCCCAGGGAGGAGTAGAGTAGTTAAAGTCAGGTAATATGAAAAAAAACTAGCAAAAATTGTTAAAAGTTAAACAACATAGTAAGCGAGAGAAGATTGTTTTATATCAGTGTTTCATTAGACTTCATAGCAACCTAATAGTCTTTGTGGGGTCCTAATCTATCCCTATATGCTATTATTTGCTTAAAGTGAAAAGCCTTTTGACAAGGATGGTGTCTTAACGCTCCATATTTAGTCAGTGACCATCTCAACACATGAATTAATGTATCATTACATACAATATGCTTTTGTACAGGGTGAGGGCAGTTTTAAGGTGCAATACATCGAGACAGTTCCTGCCTGAAAAGTTTACAATCCAATAACAAAAAGATAGTAAAGTGTCTAGCACAACTGGGGCCTTGATCCCTCATTTGGAACCCTAGGTTCTACTGCATTACAGATAATTATCCAGGATGACATGCACTCGGGGGGGGGGGGGGGGGGGCGGAAGAGATTAAACATTAACCACGAGGGAAAAGGATATAACCACCTCACTGTAAGTAAGTAGCATACAATCCCAAATAACTATAGAAAAGGATCATGATGGGAGATACTCACCCAGATTGGCAGAAATGCACAACCTGGCACATATGTAACTGCACAAATACTGAAATGGCTCCATCTGTGCTCCAGCATCTAAGCTTTTATTTTAAAAAATAAATAAACCTACCTTCACACTTGTGAAGAAAGACAATAATTCAGCACCAAAGCCTGAAGCTACAGCCAGTCTGAAACAAATTAAGACTAGATTTACATTAATCTCAGTGGGGTATTAACTGAAACCTGATGGCATCTTGATGTCACTGTTGCTAATTATTTCATTACTGATCTATCTGGTAAAACTATTAAGCAAATGTGTTTAACCAACATTGGATATAGCAGTAAATGGTGGGTAACATTATCTAGCAGAACAATTGTGAAGGATTTGTTGGGGAGCGTGTATGGGAGATGGGATGAGAAATTCCAGCCCATCCATCCATATCTTCCCAAAAGTGGTGAAAGTAATAGGGGATGCATCCCTCTCCTTAGTATCAAAAACTTCAGCTTTCTCCAATCCTCCCCGACAACTTTAACAATGCAGGTTTGCATTTTCAGTGCAAAAGCTTACAACATACTGAAAATGTATAAGCAGTTCAAGCTCAATAGAGCAGTTTAAGAGATTTTACTAAGCAAAGCGCTAGTTCTGAATATACCTGACCCTTCTGCCACCTTACCCATTTGCTGAAGTATTTAGTTCCATCTTGCTGCAGAGTACTAGGCCTTATTGCAGGAATGTGTACATAATGGTATGCACAGGTAGGGGCTACAGATCCAGTAAAAATGCTGTTTGGTACTCTTCCAGTATTTTAGTGCCCAGGAGGAGGAATAGGTTTGTAGGTAAAGCAGAGATTGGAATAAATTCTTAGCTCTAACAGACTTCCCTGAGCACATTATTTAATATCTGTAGAATGGGGATAGTAGTTCCCTGCCTGAGAAAGGTGATGTAAAATAACTTCACAGATGTTTGAGGCATTCATGCTACACAGAGTGCTAAAAGTACCTAGCTAGAGTGCAAATACAATGTGCTTTCAGCAGCATTATAGTATTTGAGGAGTCTTAATGGGTAGGTTGGCACTACATTACCCAAGTGGAGAGAGTAGGTGCCAGCTACCTTTTTAGATAGCTTGTTATTATTCAGTAATTATGAAGTGCAGGTATTTTAAATAAAGTTTAGTGTGTGTTAAAGTTACATGTTAGATGAAGTTCTGTTATGTCTCACTAAGCATTGCTACTTTACTGAGCACACTTTATGATAAAAGTACTAACTGGTACATGAGTGCATAAAGGGCTAAAGTGAGCTTTCCCCTCCTGCTCCAAGTTTTAATAATTCTTTAGCAGTTACAAAAGTTAAGCCAGCATTAAGATGTAACCACACTTACCTTAGGCCAGCACTGGAAGGCTGTAGCTTCTCAACCGTTGAGTGCTATTAGCATTTCCGTTAGCATTAGGAAGACAAGATATTTTTTTTTTTTTTAAGTATTTGTTACTCATTTAAAAACTATTTTCCAGGAAAACTAAGGAATGGGTCACAGTAAGATATAAATAAAGTTAAGGGGTACTATAAGGGGAAAATTCAGAATTTGAATATGTACCATAAGGAATTAAAGCATCAGAAGACTACATTAAAATATACTGCAAAGTAAATCATCACTTTGTTGTTGTTGTGGAGAAAAAAGCTTTCCAATAAAGACATGTTGCCCTGCCTAGGTGATGGCCTGGTAGACTTTTTTCCGTACACCTCCTCCTCACATGGATATTTTCCATACCCAACCACTCAGTGGTTTGCTTTTTCCCCCCATGCCGATCCCTCTATCACTCTTGCTTCCTGGAAGCCTAGTGCCATAGTGCAGCCACACAGCTTTGAGCTATGACCCCATCACTTCTCAGTTAATAATTTCAGACATTCAGGAGGTATTCTGCTGGGAAGGTTTTTTAATTTATGGTATCAAGCAGACAACCTCATCATGTGTCTGAGTGGGTGGTACACAATAAATACATTTATCCTAACAATTCAGTTTTGTCTACGGAGAAAACAGTTGAACCTTTTAAAAATTCCATTTTACACTGTGCAAAATCAAGTTTTCAGAAGTGAGCAAACAACAGCATTTGCTAAAGTGAGGCAGACAGGAAGACTTCATTTCCTTCTTCAATACTGCAAGTGCAATTCCTGCGCCTGTTGAACAGAAATTGCCTCTATCCAATTGATTAGAGGTACTAATGAGAAATATTAGCTAGATAAGAGTCCTTGTTCACAGATTCAAGCACAGTTTTTACATTGTACCTTGCTAACTCCCAGAGCACTTGTTCATAACCTTTTCACAACAGGGTGGGTCCTTCTTTCAGGAGCCATAATAGATATTATCTATGACATCTAGGACAGTCACTAGGCTCTGAGCAGTTTTAAGTTAACTGTCCCTTTAAAAAGTTCCTATGAAGCAGAGCATTTCAATCATTATGAAGAAATTTTTGATGACAGGGCATGCGTTGTATCATGCAGAATGAAATCAGAATAATTTGCATAAGCCAGGCAAGGCTTTCCGATAGCGGACACTATCAAAGTAGCTGGGACTTTGCCCAGTTTGCCTGTCAGGCTATGAAATAAAAAAGCTGCATTGCTAGTTCCCACAAAAAACAAATGTCTCCCTAACTCAGTGATATAGCTATATTAAGTATTGTAGTCAAATTAATTCCCTTGTTTGATATTCTTTGCAGGAAGAGACAAGAGGATATGTGGGGAATGCCAAGAAACTGCTCCTCTCTTTTTTGAAGAGCTGACCTATGTCAGAACCACCATACTATTGACTAATATCTGGTTATATTCTTTAGAATGAAGGAAGCACAAAAACTTTTCTTTTTTTAATTGCATGATCAGGAATGACTACAAAACATAGAACATGATTGTACTCATTCAAGCCCAATCCAATTTAAATGTATTCCCATAAGCTACGACTGCCAAACAAATGTATTCTTTAACAACCATCCATGAGCAATATTCTCTAGCTGATGAGACAGATTTTAAGAGGTTTAATATAGTGCATGTAAAAATAGAAAATTTAAAAACCAATCTCATCACAGAAACACTTTCATTTCCTTTTCTGTTGTGAAATAAATAAGGCAGCAGATAACTATTACTTAGAAGTGGCATCTTTGAGATATGCTATCAAGTCTGCCCTCTCAGTCTTCTTCTTAATGCCAGCAAAAATCATCTTTGTTCCTGGGATGTACTTCTTCGGATTTTCCAAGTACTCCATCAGTGTTTCCTCACCCCAGGTGATTCCTAAAAACAATTAAAGTTGTTAATATAGATTTATAAGCTGAGCCATCAATTACACATTTGAAATAAATTAACCTTTTCCTCAAAAATCACTTATCTAAAGGCAAACATTTTAAATTAAACTAAATATAATACTTATAGAACTACTGCCATTGGTAGCTGGATGTCCTCTATCACTCAGTTACCATTCTACATCTTCCATGTAACTTGGAAGAGTAACACTTTAGTTTTACCTTTGTTCTTGTTTGCTTCTGTGTAAGAGAAGCCGGCAGCTTGGCCAGTCTTCCGTCCAATTAGGCCATTCAGGTTGGGCCCAGTCTTGTGCTTGCCTCCCTTTTCAACTGTGTGGCACTGTGCACATTTCTGAACAAAGATCTTCTTGCCCTTTTCAATGTCTCCCATTTTCAATGCTGAAAAGGAAACAATACCAAGGTCAGGTCGTTTTTGGTGCACTTTAGAAGAGACAGGAAAACATATGTATATTCTTAGGCGAGGCCGTTCTGGAGAGGACCCAGCGGTCTAAAAATCCTCAGATATCATTTCATACACCCAACGAGAAAATTAGCAGGGCTTGACAACAGTTCTCTTGGCTTCAGGACTTAGAAGCTACAAAGCTCGTTCTGACTAGAAAGCAGCTGCCTGCAGGCTCGTGAAACAGCTCCCCACAGAGCGTCCAGGGACCTGACAAGCGCCCCGGGCAGGGACACCGAGGGAGGCTGCAAGGCGCTGCAATGGAGCCGCTCCCAGCCCAGCCAGACACGGTCCCGCGCGGCGGCAGAGGGCAGCCCCGGACCCAGCAGCGTGTCCGGTATCACTCCTGGGACTGAAGGGTCCCGGCCCGTCGCGCTTCAGGCTGACCTTGGCGGTGGCCCCAGCCAGCAGCCGGGCCCCCAAATGGAAACGGCACTTCCGCTGGGCCGGTCACCGGGGGGGCAGCCGGGTGCGATGCGGGCCCGGGCAGGGGGCGCGGGAAGAGCCAAGGTCGGGGTGATGCCGGGATGGTGCGAAGCGGCCGCTGCAGCCCGGGCCGGACCCCCTCCCCCGGGCAGCCCGAGCCGGACCCCCTCCCCCGGGCAGCCCGGGCCGGACCCCCTCCCCCGGGCAGCCCGGGTCCGCGCCTGCCCGACCGAGACCAGAGCACCAGCAACCCCCTTCCCCAGGAGAGCCCCCTCCTCGCAGCACGCACCTGCCGGCCTTCTCCGCCCTCCGACCGCTATTGTCTCTGTCCCACGCTCGCTGTCTGGGCCCAAGGACACGCCGTACCCGAGCCTATGTAGCCGGTGCCACTACAACCAAACTGCATCGGCACTCGGCCCGCCCGCTCGAAGCGCTGGCCAATCAGGTGCCGCCCTGGGAAACTTTGATTTGTTTCCTTACGTGTCCATCAGGACAAACGTCACACAATGTTAACAGCAGGATAGGTAGCTTCCAAGTAGACCCGGTCTTCGCCTTATCCTCGTTACGAAATGGCGCATGACGTATGTGAAGATACGTAAGAGGTACGAGGGCGCGACTAGGCGGTCAGACCTTTGCGCATGCGTACAACAGTGAGCCGCAAAGGTCAGCAGTGCAAGGTGAGGCTGCGTCCTCAGCGTGTGCCTCGGTAAAGTCACGTGCTGCCTCTTTCTACGGGCCCCGGCGGAGGAGCCTAAGCAGTGATGCGAGCCGGGAATCCCGCAACGCGCAGGCGCGGCGGGGGGGAAACGGAGCTTCCCTTGCTGCGAGCCCTCAGCGTCCGGGCTGCGGAGCGGCGGTGGGTCAGGGCTGGTCACTTGCACCACGTGCTTCCCAGCCAGGGCCGGGGGGAGCCTGGCCGGAGAGCACGTGACGTCCAGGCCGGGGCCTGACTCCCACTGCTTTGCGTGACAACAGGCATCGGGTTTGTTTAACTGGTTGAACCAAACCCAGGCAGGTCCCTGTGTGGAAAGGCTTCCCTTGGTCTGAAAGGGATTATGCTGGGTTAGCACGCTGCCAGACAAGCTGACATCGATGTCGGTGTCCACACACAAAGTTGCCCTGATTTCACTATGTTGGGTTAAAATCACGCCTGTAGTTAAACCAGTGCAACTCTGTGTATAGACCCGGACTGTGTGTTTTACATGTGTGCAAAAGGCTACTAAGGGCTGGGCTACTCTGAAAAGTTAGATCAGTGTAGCTGCAGCTCTCAAGGGTGTGATGATGGGAGAACCCTTCCTATCATCATAGTAAGCATCAACACTGACATGTTACACCGCCGCAGCTGCAGTTTAAAGGTTTAAGTGTAGATGTAGCCTAAATTAGAACTGCAGTTTTTCACACTTGCTCTGCAGAGGTCTGAATGGGCACATGTGGTACAAGACAGAGGAGAATCATGGCACTCATTTTCACATGCTGATCTCTGGCACATTCATGTGAAACTCTGATGTCTATGCTGAGAGGAATTTTTTAAAGGGTTTTAACAAAATTTGCTTCAGTTCTTTTGAGTTAAAGAAAAGCTTTTAAAAAGTTTCTACTATAAAAATAAAAATATTGCCACTCTTTTTCCAGACACAACTCAGAAACAGCTTAATTTTGAAACTCGGTGTGTAATGTTCACCAAAGAGCATGTCATATCTATGCTTGGAGGCCAAAACACACTGGATATAAAGTAAGTTAGAAATATTTGAGGACTGTGTCCTAGGCAGACAAAGAAGAGGGCACTTTTGAATGGATGTCAATGGGCACCAGTCCACTTCAGAGACTTAGAGCAGCTTAAGACTTTATGCCACTATAAGTTCTTAAAGCAGCTTAGAGGGTGTTTTTAGCCCTTTCCTCTTTTAAGGACATAGGAAACTAGGAAATTAAAAGCAAAACCATTGTCAATACAACATGAAGGTTGAAAAATTAAACTAAGCAGTGTTGCCAAGTCTTGGGATTTTATTGCAGTTTTTGTGGTATTTAGTGTATATCTTGAGGGCAGCTCTGGAACTGTGATTATGTGAGAATCTCAATTTTAATAAAAAAATAAGTTCCGTGGCTCTAATTGTGACAAACACCTTGAAAACATGACCCATGTGGATCTTAAACATTCAAAACCAGCTAGATCAAATAAAAATTGATCTAAGTTTTTTAAAATCATGATTTTAAAAACCAACCTAGTGATATAGTGTCCTAAATCATGATTTTTGAATGGTCATCATCATCATGTTCCCATTACGCCTCTGGCATTTAGGGCAGCAACCTCCACTGCTGTCTGTTTCTGGCAAGTCTTTCAATGGTTCCCCAGCTGTGCCCCAGGTTTTTCAGGTCAGCTTCCACAGCTCTTTGCCATGTTGTTTTCAGGCAGCCTCGTTTTTGCTTGCCTTCAGGTGTTCATCTTATTGCTACTCTGGTGGTGGAATCAGTTTCCATCCAAAGCACATGGCCAATCCCTCTCCAACGCCTCCTGGCAATGATGGTGCTCATATCCTCTTGGCTGCACTGTGTCAATAGATCTTGGTTTGAGATTGTTCTGGGCCAAAAGATATGGAGGATTTTTCTGAGGCAGGCTGTATGGAATGAAGACAGTTTAGACATGTCATACTTTCTCATTCCCCAGCGTTCTACATTATAAAGTAATGTTGAAAGTACACAGGCGTGGATGCACAGACCAGATCTTCACTCTACAAAACATAATAGAACAATTCTTAGAATGGCAACAGCAGCTCTACATAAAGACTTTGAGAAGGCTTTTGACAGCATTCACAGGACCAGCCTATGGTGCATTCTGCGGGCATATGGAATCCTTCTCCGTATAATCAACATCATCAAAAGCTTTTATTTCAACTTTACATGTAGGATAGATTACAGTGAGCTCAGTTTTGAAGTAAAAATAGGAGTACGTCAGGGGTGTGTCATGTCTGCAATCCTCTTCAACATTGCCATTGACTGGGTAATTCAGCATACAACAGAAGACATGCCAAGAGGCATTAAATGGACACCCTTCTCATCCCTTGAAGACCTGGACTTCGCAGATGATCTCACTCTCCTATCACATATCTAACACCATATACAAGAAAAAACAACTCAACTCAATGCATTCAGCCAGCAAATTGGACTGAAAATCAATCACAATAAGACAGATATCATGACCTTTAATATTGCCTCACTATCACCAGTACGGATAGAGGATTATGTTTTCACCAGTGTAGAAACATTCACATACTTGGGCAGCACCATCAGCCAGGACAGTGGAACAAGCCAGGACATCCGGAACAAAATCAGTAAAGCCAGGAACACCTTCAGGAGCTTAAATACAGTCTGGAAATCATCAAAATACAACACCAAAACCAAACTCAAGAGTTTGAATGGTAGAGGTTGGCAACTTAAGATTCATATAATTAAACTAACATGGCCATGTTACATGCATGCTATATTTTTGTGAAGGGATCCTTCGGGTCCAACCTGGAATTGTGCAACCACTGTGCCCCCTTAACTCTCCAGCCTGGGTTGTCTCTCACAATGCTTTGCCAGTGACAAGCAGCAAACCCCTCCAGGCGCTGTTACCACTCAGTCACAAGCACGCAGAGGCACACCCAGTGAAGTTGCATGAATACCCTCTAAGCCACTCATGACCTATACATGTGGAAACATCAGCAAATTTCCCAAGCCCCCAGCCTTACATCCTAGAAATATACCATCTTACAGTGTTCCAGACCTCTTGAACAGTGAGAGCTTATTTATTAGTATGCCACTTCGCCAAAGGAACGTGGACATGCACCAGCTTTTGTAACCTGAACAGATTCCCTAAGCACTTTAGACAAACTCACTGGTAAGGATAAAACATTAAATTACATTTAGTAACTACAGAAAGATAGATTTTAAGTGATTATAATTGGTAGGCATAAAAGGTCATACAAAAGGTTTCCATACAAAAATAAAAAGTAAACACGCATTCTAATGCCTAAACTTTTAGATTAAGCAAAAGTTGAATCAAACAGTTTTTCTCACCTCACTGGATGTTGCAGGTAGATTGTAGTTCTTAATACACGGGCTGAATTTCCTTCTTATCCTGGGACCAGTCTTTTTGTTGCCTTCAGTGTAGGCAGGTGACGAGAGAGGTCATCTCATGATGCCACTGTCCATTATTCTATACTTGGAAAGAAACTGGCCCAGGCATGTCCTGGACGGCCTTCTTGAGTCACAGAGTTGAGCAATTCTCATTGTGTGGTGCTGGCACAACGGTCTCTTATTGGCATAAGAGATGACAGCATCTGCCATACGATGTTCTGAAACAGTCCAATGCAGAGCATTGTTTCTGGGGGTAGGTTGAAGCCTGGAAGTTGTTTTATGGGGTTGGTAATGGTGGTTGTTTAGGAAAATAGCATTATCCCAGAATTCTTTCTGGTGTGCCTCGAGTCTGAATGAAGATGCTTTAAGAGCTTTAGCCTGATCTCAAAAAGAGTGCAGAAGACCTCATAAAATGGTAAGTTCAAATTGGCCATGGTTTGGTCATACTCACAAGCTGTGTGTTCTTCTATGGATTTTGTTTGGTGGTATGTATGCTAGAGTGGACAACCACTGAATAGGTGTTGATGTTAATGTTCCAGTTATGATTCTCATTGCAGCATTAGGGAGGATGGTCCTGCAATTTGTGGAGAACTGTCTTGGCTTCTGTACTCCCCCAGTGGAATCGGATAGCGAAAGGACCTGAGTCCTTGCCCCAACTCCCTTTGCCCAGATGTCTTCCTCACCTTAAGGACTCCTCTTCTATTTTCCCACATGGCAGAGTCCTTGTAATCCCGGTAAGACTGTCCCAGGATTCCTGGAAGGTTTAACCCTCAATCTCGTCATGGTCACTTAGGACAAGGGCTAGGATGTCCTCCACTCTGGGATACTTTCTCCTTACTGGCTACTTCCCTGACCCACTAATCAGTACATTGTTTAAACCAAATACAATTTATTAAACAACATCAGTAAGAAAAAAAGGGACAAATGGAAAAGGTTAAAGGAACAAGTCTCTGCAATTTAAGAAAAGTTCACAGTCCGTTCTGCACAGGTCCCAGACATCATTCCTTCCTTCCCAGGACCTGGTTGCACTGCAGTGAGACTGCAGGTAAGACACTTGCCCTGGGGGTGGCTACATGCCATCAGGCTCTAGGTGGCAGGAGCCTTCCTCTTCCCCCACCCCTCCCAGCATTGGCCCTCCTGTCATGTCGGGGCCCTCTTGTCTGGTGATGTCTCCCTCTGCAGAGCAATCGCTGCCCGGGTCCCACCTTGCTCTCCCCAGCTGCTCACAGCGCTTGGCTCTGGTATTACTTGTGGCACAGCCAGCGTCCGATATCCTGGCTCTGGCC